AAAACTGGTCCTCCTGTAAAATCGTCCCTCTGGTTTTTCTGGGGCAGGTGGGAGGAAGCGGTAGGTTTCTCACCTCTTCCCTCATACACAGCACGTGAAGACGCTGAGCTCAGATTTTTACCTTCTCCGTGCTGCCGTCCAGGCAGGGGCCCACTGCCCAGCGTGGCTGGAAGCCTCCACCTCCTCATGGAAAAGCCAGTGCAGTTGAAAATGTGACTCTACAGTGAGGTAAAAGAACTTGGCGGCCCTGCAGGAATCTTAAAATAAGGCGCATTCCTATCCCTATCTGTCCATAGACCAAGGGCCGAGGCGTAGGATAATGTTACTGCAGCTGTATTTGACCTTCCTTCTTGCAGAAGATCGGCGACTGGAGGGCCCCTCACCACACAGATCTCTGGGATGCAATAGGGCCCTCTTTTTTTAAGCTCATCATAGCACATCTTTTTTAAAATAGCAGCTTGAGGTGTCACCCTGATTTTTTTTTTTAAGCAGGTTTCAAGCGTGTATCAGCAAACTGGATCCACAAGCTTCTTCCCGTTGTTGTCTGGTAGACGATAACTGCCAGTTGTAGTCAGCTAACAATTTAGTGTGTCGGGAACTGGAGGATTCCTTCTCCCAAACCACAGTCCCTCACACAGGACATCCTAAAAAGGTTACGGAAATCTGCATCTTTCAGTGCTGATGTATCTAGTTTCTGCCTGACCCTAACACACAGAAGTATGACATGAGAAGGGCCATGCAGCAATAAAACAGAGAAACTTTCCAGTTTGCAGGACTGAGCCTCCACTGGGGTAAGACACTAGTGCAGATAAGTGATGAGGCTATAGGATTTACATAATGTACAGTTACGCTTTTAATATACATATTTGATACAAAAATTATAGCAGGAAAAGGACTCATTTGATTGTAGAATACAGTATTTTTGTACAGCATGAAACGTTCATTTCAGTTAATTATTTATCCTGTAGTAGTCATATCAGCTGTATAGGACTTCTATGGTATGTGTAAATGCAACCTGCCTTCAGACTAGCAATCAAATTAGGTCATTTGCTGGCATGAATATAGTCTGATGTTTGACTGTTCTCAGCTTTGGTATTTCAGTGACTGAATGCAGATGTCTGGCTCTTCATGCTGCTTTACGCTTACTGATTAAATGCTGAGCAAAATAAAACAGTGGAGTGAGAAGCTGAAAATGAGCTAGTATCAGGATTACAAGCAGAGCACCTGCTGCACAGTATACAGTGAAGACTCTGCTCTCATACGGAAGGAAGCATTTTTGGAGGGAGAAGTCAGTCGGTGTTATGCTGCCCTGGAAAAGAAATGAAGACTGTCACTTTGCTGTTACAGTGGGTTCTGAATCAGGAGTAAACACCACAGCTGTCAGATCTCCGATTTCTAAATTCTGTGTTGGGTGGCAAGGGTTGGGGCCAGTTTCCTAGTACCAGTGCCTTCTTCAGGGGCTGAAGAGTCCATACCTTGCGGTGCTGGGCACTAACTGGAATATTCACCAGGCCAACGTTAGCCCAGAGACCAATCTTCCCTATGTTCCATCTAGCGTAAATAGAGAGCTGGGCTCCTCATCTGGTCTGCCTTCAAGAGAAGCCTAACTTTAGTTGCTGTAAATCCACCTGGAAGGAGCCTTCCCAGGCTGAAGTTAGGTTTTGTGAATGTGCCCCTTCCTCCCCCCCAAGCCCTCCTCCTACCCAGTACATGCTGCAAAAAACACGTTGGCTAATCTAAATTCCAAACAACAACGAACTTCATTGGGTTTTGGTTTGACTTTGCAGTTCAAATTGAAGTTTACAACGGACCGAGGCTGAGCTAAAACAGTAGTGCAGATGATGCGACTGTCATTAGCCAACCTCTTGTTTTGCAGTGAAGACGCACTGTCTGGCATGTGCAGAGAGCATGTGTAGTTTGAAGGCAGCTACTCTCAGGAATATGGAATAAACAAAACTACTTTCATCAAGAAATACTAACAGTTGCATAAAATGAATTTAAAAGTTCGGGGTTACCTGTGTATTAAGCAGCCTAAACTCAACAGCACTAAAAGTATACGAAAGATTTGTCCCCCAAGTCACAGACTACGTTAAGAGGTTGTAGGTTTTGCTTCTTACTCCAGGTGTCTAGGAGTTCCGTTTTATTTTTGAACGGGGGAACTAACTGATTTACCTCTAAGGATATACTGAGCACTGGAACTGCCTGTGAGAGCATAACCAACACACTGTATAAAATGTGAATTGGAAACGAGGAGGCAGACTGTTGGCACGTGACAAACGTTTTCACTGTGTGACGCGGTTAACGCACAAGTCTGAAAACCACGCTCACCGTGCAGAAGGGTTCGAGGTGGATACGGCCTTGTTTTCATACCTGGTAAATCCACCGAGCCAAACCAGTCTTTCTACTGTTCAGTGCACAATACTGATTATTTTTACAAGTCAATAGTTTACAATGCACCCTCTTTATAAGAAACTGTTAGATGCTTGTACCCAGATACTAATTAGATCTTTAGCAGCATTGCTTTGTACCACACAGAACATGTGGCTCCCACAGATGTACTTCATAAAGTGGATGCAGTGTACTGAGTGGGCTGGGTGGGTAGGCAATTTTTTTATTTTTTTTGTTTTTACAGGTAGAATCAGTTTTAAAATATAGCTGACTGCCATGTTGATTTATTTATGAAAGTTATCTGACAAAAATAAAAAAAATTAAAACTTACCATGATGAAACTAGGGTTGTTTCTATTCCTCCAACTGAATGATGGGACGCTGATTTCTGGGATTTTCCCCGCATGCAGCACTTCACAAGCACTATGTGTGTGCCCACTGAGAATCAAACGGGGACGAAACCACCATATCAGCTAGAATACAAAATGGTAAAAGCACAGAAAATTAAGTCATAACTAAAAACAAATTGAGCTTAAGACCCTTTTTTTTTTTCCTTCTCACAGAATGAAATTACAGGAATTCCAATATTCTCACAAAGTGCTTCATATAAACGTCTGTTTTCCAGTAAGACCTGTGTTGATACTGTAATAATAATCATAACCATTTGTCCCTCATCCCGAAAACTAGAATTTTTTTTTGGCCGTATAGGTGAGAAAAAAAAAGGCAATAGCATGCTGTTGACATCAGAAGTAGAAAAACCTTGGGTTTAGTAAAGCAATGCTGTTTTCTTGTCTAAGGGAGAATCTCGTACTGCCAATCTTAAGCGAAGACATCTACGCAGAAGGAAACAAATACTGCCCACTGGATTTTCTGGGACAGTTTTCTTGTGGTTACTAATTCAGCAAAAGCAGTGCTTTCGAAGTGTTGGAAATAGTGGCTTTCTACTAGGTTTGTCAGTCATCTACACAGTACAAAGTACAAAACGCTAACGGGAAGTAACAGCACCGCAGCAGACTCACAGAGCACTGGGACTTACGGCCTATACCTGGGAAGCCTGGCAGAATGGAGGCCACGATCGCGATGATCCTCAGGGGAGCAGCTCTAACAAGCAGCCTCTCGAAGGCCTCATTAAAGCAGGAGCAGCTGTGGTCTGTTTGTCTCAGCTAAGATCTTTTCCGAAGTTTTTTAACATATATATATATATTTATCTACACTCGTGTGCCCTCCCACCCACCTGTCGATACTCAGGTTCCTAATATATCCAACCTTTTGTGATGCTTCTCGAGACAGTACATCATACTTCTCTCTAAAGGGGATGTTCTTCTCCTCTGGAGGAGCAGAATCTTCTCCGCTGCATTCAGCATCACTTTTCCGATAGAGAGGGTAATGCTGGGAGACGTTCAAAGCAAGGATCAGTTGTTAACCATCCAGCCTTTCTGGAACACTAATAAATACACTGAAAACATGTCAACTTGTTGCCTCACCCCACCTCTAACACACCTGTAAAAGGATGGGTTCTGAAGCTGGAAGCTTTTCCACATCACTGCACCTTTTGTTGGAATGATCCGGTTTCTGTGAATGAGAATCCATACATATTGTCTTCACCTATGTGTACCGTAGGGGTGGGGAAGGGAATTAAACAATAGCTAGGTTTTGAGGGGTTGGAGGTTTTTTGTTTTGTCTTTTGTGAAAAGCAGTATCCGCTGAAAGTACAGTGTTTAAATACCACCCACTGTATGAACTTTTCAGAGCCGCTACTGTGGATGGAAGAGGAAATGCTTTAATTCCCCTTTCCGTATGTGCTGGGAGATGTTCAAAGCAAGGATCAGTAATACGGTTGCGCTCTTTCTGAATGCAGAAAGCAACAGCAGAATCTCACGGCACAAACAAGGCAGACGAGACTGAGGGCAGCCTGAGTGAGAGTGCAGTTACAGTCTAGCAGTTTTTCCACTGGGAGCTGGTTTCCTGATTGACTGCCAACCCAGTCAGTCATGCTGCCTACCGTGCATCCAGTCAGCCTAAGCAAAGGGAAGAGGAAAGAAAGATAACAAGCAATTGATTTGATGAAAAAGTACTATGATTAAAACATGACTAGGCTATCAAGACAGAACTCCAGTAGAATCAGAAAACTTAAAGATCAGGCTAGCTTGAAGGATATAAACCAGAACAATATGCATAAATATAAATGCAGGGATTATTCTGTATCTTCAGGCAAAGTGGGGGGTTACAGAACATCTCCTGCCAGTCCTTGGAACAGAGGAAACAAAACCCTGTGCTTGCTGGCAGGACTGACAAGGAAGTTAACACCGTTAACACAGAGCAACGTAGTTAATAGTTAAGTAAAAACTATAAGAGGCAAATGAGGAGAAGAAAGATTTGCTAGCAAGTTGCGGTATGAACTGGAAGCAGGTTTTTTTTCAGGAGAGTCTTAGTTATATCCTGACTATTGCTGCAGTATCAGTATTCCCATTACAGCAGCCGAGGTGCTGCCAGTAATCAGATCTTCAATAAACTCTTACCTGCTGGGAGCAATTCAGTTTGTGAGAAAGCGCCACAAGCTTTGCCTCTGCGGAACGGCAGACGGCACAGCCATCACCCTCCATGGCTACGCTGTTCACTATGACAAAGCTGGAAAATACCAGGGAGTGGGCAAAGAGAAGGGAAGTGGGGAGGACAGGGAATTATTTGCACATCTGTGGGATAAACTTTGTTTTATAAAATGCAAGTGTTCAAGTCAGACACAGCTCAACAAAACAGCAGAACATAACAGCCTCTGAAATCATGTGCTATAAATCCTCTTTCGAGTATCCATACTGCAGCTGTTTCTCTACCTGGTAGGCTGCTTTATAATCAGTAGTTAAAATTCTCTTTTATCAAATTAAGCTGCTTTTATACCATAGATTTGTTATAAAAGAGTTTATTGATGAAACATTCCTGGATAATACAGTTCATTTCAGTTAATGAATATGATACTAGACATACAATCTGCAACTGCATGGAAGAATTCTGCTGTGCTGTTGTATCAAAGAGGACATGGAGATATTCCTAAACTGCTTTTTATTTTAAAACAGCTGGAACACACCTGCATGATAAACAATAACATTATACTGAGCTGATGAAGCTGATAGATGTTCATCTGTAGGTTTGGAATTTTACAGTTGCATGAGTGACTACAACCTGATGGCATAAATGCCAAATGCAGAGCACCGGTGGGTCTCCCCTTCATCTAGCTGAGGTTTAAAGACAAAAGCCCTTCCACAAACCCGATACTGCTTTACCTCGTCGGGTTCCTGCACGGTATCCAAAAGGAGCAAAAGGGCACGCGGCAGATAACTGCGGCTACAGACACACCACAGCGCAAACAGCTCTGCAACAAGGTCTGCTCTAAGCCGAAACCAGCTGGTGCGTTACTACCCCACCCTGTGGAAAAACTGTGGACGAGCAACTGCTATGTTCCCAAATTCCTCTAACAAGAGCTAAGTTCTGCAGACGAAAGAAGTTATTAAAATTAATGAAACTCTTAACTTGTAAGCACAGAGGGGGGTTGCTTGTGTTTCTTTACTGAATCCTACTCTTCTGTTACGTTTACAGCCATGGGTCATTACCAGCTGCAAGGAAGTAAAAAGGCAAACCAGAGAATTTGATTCTGACTCCACAGTACTTTTCCATTTAAAAGGAAATCGTTACAATTCACCTAGCTCAAAGCACAGCTTCCTCTCTGTATCAGACTACACGTTTGTACAAAGTGTTTGATGTTTAATATATCACAAGCTAGACACAAAGCTTAAAAGAAAAAAAAAAAAAAGAATTGGCTCTAAGTGAAGCATTCCCATACTATTTCATGAGAAATTCCACTTGCAGTTTTGTTTTCATCACTCAGGTCTGCTAGCTCAGTATTCACTACTCTAAACATTGAAAAAAAAATTAAATGTACTCACTTTATTCCTTTTCGGGTTAATAGCTTTCCTGAAGTAAAGTTGAAAACCTTTTCAAATCGATTCAGCTTGTAAGTAGTCATTCTGCATCACAGAGCAAAAATACAACTGAGGTAAGAAATGGGCACTGTAAATCACCTGACACAGTTGCTTTGCTGTCTGTAGACCACTCGTGCAGCTTGCTGCAACCCCTGCCTAGTCACATATTCATTCAGCAAACTCATGGGGACACTCTGACACCCGCAGTGTACTCTGTCCCAGTCACATCCGTGTGAGCGCAGCCACCCTACAGAAGTACAGCAGAGCAGGGGCACTTACACTCTTCTATGCTGAGATAATGGGAAAAGGAATATGCTCAAGACACGAGGCCCAACACAAGGGAAAACAGCTTCAAGACTTCTCTGCCAATGCAGAAAGACCAGCTCTGAACCACTTCACATATGCTGAGAGAAGCACAAAAGTAGCCTGAAAACTGTTCTAAAAAAAAAAAAATCACACTTCAAACATTACAGAGTGACATTCTTAGGGTGCGTTGTGCATAGATGGACACCTTGTAAGATCCTGCTCTAAATTACAGTCCCTTCTAATTTGGTAACCATCAAAAAATGTATAATAAACACAGGAGAGGTCACTCAGACACAAGACCAGTTACTGTATGGATGCCGATGTTTCACTCTTGGCACTTGCGTACTCCTTTCACGGACAAGACTTACTCATAATGAAATCCAATGTCATGATTCCCAACGATAACCACTAGCTCAGTAGAAACTGGATACTTAAACATTCTCTGAAATCTCCTGACATCATCTGCCCAAGCCTGCATGAAAAAAATAAATGGAGAAATTAATGCTGTTCGACAGTATCAAAGGGGACCACTAGTACGTAATACAGAAGCACACTCTCAGTGAGACGTTTACATTTTGTAAGTTTTATATGAGGGGGAAAAGTGCCAAGATACTACCAAAAATGAAGGAGAATCACAACGTTTCAACTCACATCTAAAACACTAAAAATTCTACCAGTAAGATTACAGTAATATTAAACAAAGCCTTATGTATCTAGTCTGCTGCCTTCTGCCATGCCTTTCCTTCAAGAAATCCTCATTTTTTTAAAAAAGAGAGCTGTTGATGTCATACCTGAGGTGAGCTCCATTTTCCTTCATCAAAGACATCTCCCAGAATAAAAACAATATCTGGCTGCAGTAACCATAAGGCAGTTTGGAAAGATCTCTCCATTTGCCATTCCCTGAAAGGAGAACACATCCCCAGTCATCGCTGCCTAACTTCTCCATTCTCAACGCTGACCACACAAACGCAGCCTGGCAGGAACGGGAAGATGGCTCCTACACACTGAAAGCGCTAATATGAAATTCAAATTAAACACTTCAACATCAGGTTTAAGTACAATAGGTGCATCTTACCTGGGGGCAATTCCACCACAATACAATAATGACCAATGCATGCAAGAAGTAATACCAGTTTGTTTATTTTTGTTAATTACAATTCCATTAAACAGCAATTAATTAGAACAGTGAATTATTGCACGTTTTATTATGCTATTGTTTCTGCAGGAAAAGTTCATCATGTTCGTTTCATAGTAGCATTAGTACTTTCAGCACTCTGCTGCTTTTTTTTTTTTTTGGACTAACAGGAACAACATGGCTTTGTAGGCACAGGATTGGATTATCTTTGTCTTTAAATGTGATTTTGCCACCAATTCTTCTACTACAGACATAAGCTTCTACCAGCTTCCTTATCTCTGCAATTAAGGGTATTAACTATTGGGACATCCAAGTTATCTGGTTCATTTTTAAGGCATTTTATAAAATAGTTACACACTGGAAAACACTACCAGACCCATCGAAAATGCTCAGGCATCTGTGCCCACATACTACCTGAACATTCTAGACTGCCCTGCCTAAGTCCCACTCATTAACCTTTCAACGCTGGTTTATTAGCCAGCGCAGATCCAGGTAGGCAGCACGCACACTTCTTGCAACATTGGTTTTAAACATCTGTCCCATTAGCTACTACTAAAAACTCTAAAACCAAGATAGGGATTATTAAAAAAATTAATTGTTACCTTCTTAGTTTATCCAGCCAATGTCCTTTGACTTCACCAAGTAGGTGAGTATCAGCTAAAATCATGGCCTTCAGGACTGAAGTTGAAGTCTCTTTTTCACCCATGTGAGCTCCACCTTTCACTTCCGGCCATCGACATTGAAAAATTACCACATAATAAATTAAGAATTCACAAAATACTAACACTGAGCTGACAAAGCACACAAGTTTCAGCTTTTTTGGAAACAGAGCCTTCTCTTCAAAAGAGGGCTCTTCACAGTGGTTGAGCTAGAACTCAGCATTGCAGTAGCAGCATAAGTCTCTCTCCCAATGGCTCAGTTCTCTCTCAGGTGAAAGCGGTAGGGGCTAGTCAAGGACCACTTTGGGCTTCATGTCAGTACAAAATCCCTGCAGAGAAAATACAAAATAAAATATCCATTAAGCCAGCATTCCCTGTGAAAAGCTACCATGTAAGGCTTACAGCGTTAGCTTCTTGTCACCCTGAAAGATTTGGAAATATGTAATCGACCTAAAAAGCAAGGTCGGTCGTCTCCTTCAGGTACGCAGACAGCCACACCGCTGAGCACAGAACTGCACTCTCTGCTACCAAGACCAAGGCAACTTGTTTAAAGCCAGCCAGGATCTTGGTACATGATGCTTTTTTTAAAACTACACAGTGAAAACACTGTGAGTAGAGGTCAAAGGTAGGTAAAGACAGAGCTTAGCTTCAACAGCGGCCAAAAAAAAAAAAAAAAAAATCCATTAGGATCCCTATCATCCTGGCCGTTGCAATGCCACACACAACCACTCTCTGGCACAAGTCACATAACATGACTACACTAAATCAATGCAATTACCACCTCTAATGTGGTTCATTGTAATAATTTCCAAGAACAAAAAGCAATTTACTATCCCAGAACAAGTTTACTGGAGCTTTCCAGGAACACTGGCATAGATACACAACTAGTTAACTAACACGGCTTCATGCTTAACAAGGGGTAAATAAGAAACATCTAAGCCTTGGAAACAGAAACTGCACCACAGCTGAAGAGAAATGTGAGAAAATAAGCCTAAATTGGTTAAGCTTACTGTAGTTCCTGATTTCTTCCACCTTGGATAGTTTGTAACCCAAACAGGGAACTTGCTCCTTTTGAAAGTACAATATTATCTTCTTCTATTTTAAAGGCTAATCCAAAACAAATGTCTTCCCTCTGATAAGCCACAATTGTAACACGGCTCATTGATTGTTTCACTTGTTTTTAGTTTCCTTCTAAAAGGAACTCGTTATTCCTGGTGTGAGGAGGAAATATCCATACTTTCACAGTTCTGTTTCTTCTACAGTCCTTGGCAGAAACACTTCTCCAGTGTAAGTGCCCACAAGAAACAAGTATGTCACCTGAGAGGACAGAGATACTAGCCCCTGCTTTCAAGTGAAATCACTCAGGTTCCACCCGCAACCTCTCACGGTTTCAGCCTGAAGAGTACTGCATGTCTGAAAGATGCACTTTTTAAAGGTAAACCTCCTAGCATGGTCAGAAGGATCAGGATCGAAGAAAGGATTAACCAGGACAGAGCTATGAAGATGTTACTTCACAGGCTCATGAACAAACTTGTAGAGAAATCCACAAAGAAAAGTCTTGTCCCCCACCCAAGAACAGGATCACAATTTTGCTTTCTGCAATAGAAAAATTCTAACCTAGGACTAACGTCCAGGATGTTAGCAATTACTGAACACATACTCAGTGATTAGCAGCCAATGTTCATTTGAATTGCCTAAATCTGATTAGAACCGTGAATACTCCTGAATATTTAGACCCTAAATATTAGGAACACTAGGACAAAATTACAGAATCACGTAAAATTAGTGGATCGTTTCTAAAATTCCGGTCTCAGTTACATTCAGAACACAGAACAAAATTTAAATTGCTTTACTGCCCTATGCTCTAGCCCATTTAATTGATGTCTCATGGAAATCGAGACCTGACATGTGATTACCATCTTATTTTTCCAGCCAAAACCTCTATTTGATAATAGCCACTTATTTTCAAACACGAGCTTCCCATATCACCACTACAAAGTACTTATTCAAGACAAAGAACCATTTGTCTGCATCATGTAACATTTCTAATATGCATTATTTAACATTAGCATGACTAATACTTAATTGCATGCAATTCAGATCTATCTAAACTTAGTTTAGCAGGAGAAGGCCACTGGTCAGACACCACATTTCCACAATATGGACAAACTACACATAAAGGCTGATTAACTTGTCTAATATTAATCTCATCTGCACTTCAACTAGCAATAAAAATCAACAAAATCTTGTTTGTACATCTCACAACAAGGCAAGATCAAAGCAGAAATGTCTGTTCAAGAGACACAGCAACAAGGACAAAATACAAGTAAATTCTTAACTCAACACACAAATTCACATGGCCTTATCCTGCACAAACTACACCTACCCCAGAATTTTGAAGTAGACTTTGGTAGTCCCAGATAGTCTCCTCTTCCAACAAAAATAGTACTAATTTGAACAGAAAATGCCAAGTCATTTCTTTAACTTGCATTAGGCATATCAAAAAAAATACTATAAAACCAAAAAACCCTATGACTCTTCTTACTCACAACCTACACAAAGCTTAAAACAAATAAAACCAGTCATTTTGTTATCAATATCTATACATTCTCTAGAAGCTTTTCATTACATTATTTTTGACACATCACATTTCTTTGGAAGCTGTCCAAACAGCTACAGAGCTGCAGCAAAAAGCCAGTTCTACAGATCAGTGAGAAAAACAACAACAAAAAAAAATCAGATCTTCAGAAGTAAAATGATCCCATAAAATGAAAAAAAAAAAAAACAAACCACCTGCAAATAGTAGAAAAGAAAAATATCTTCAAGGCAAAATTGCCATGTTCAAAAGTCACAAGTGGCAATAGACACAATCAAAACCACAGAGTCGGCCATTCCTACACATGCTCCCTGTCCCGGAGTTTCTGCTGCTGTCACTATTTTGGGAGTTGTGCTGCAGATGTGGAAGACGCCAGTGGTCTCCCACCTGCACCCTACATTTCCAGCTTTCCAGAGAGTGAAAGTAAAAAGAGAAGAGGAAAGGGGGGAAAAAAAACAAAACAAACACAAATCACAGAAAGTCAGCGATGCAGTATGAGCTGAAAGACAACTCCTACTAGAGGCTGAGGGAAATCCCTGCCCGCCTCCCTCTGCCACCTGCCAGCCCACGGCTGCTCACACCCCAGCTGAACTGTGGCTGCACATCTCCGCGTACCGACACAAAAGCAGTTTAACCGGAAAGCGGGCACATGCAGTAGTAATCTGCACCTCACATACGGGCACCCACGGAGCGGACAGCCACATCCTCTCACAGGGGGAGGCGAGGTCACAAACAACGCTGTCAGACTCCACGCGCGCTGCAAGATGGAGCTGTGGTTCAGCATCTCGCTGTATGACACGTTGCTGCTACTCCTCCTGGCACGGCTGATTATTAAGATTAGACCAGAATCCGGTTTCTTACTAGAGCGTGACGATCTCAGTTATGAGAAAAGACTGAAAGATTTCTCACTGTTTCTTGTTGTAAATAGATGGGAGTGGCCTGGTACATAACTAATTTTTAAAAGTTTTAAGAGCTCATCATGAAGGCGAGATCACTATTTTCACCATGTTAATTATCGTCAACTGTTTGGGCAGAGAACATACTCTATAATGGAAAACTCTAATCTTCAGTCTCTGGTAGATGTAAATTCTGCTTTGCTAGTCACAACAATTTTGTATTCAGTCAATGTATATGTATACATTCTTTAGGCAGGGGAGAAATAACCTTGAACTTTTTCTCATCTACATGTTGTGCAGAACCATTCTGCACAACCATGGATGAGGACAATTACCGATTCCTTTAAACATGCTAGAAGTATAACTTTACACCACAAAACTGGGGAAAAAAGTGCTCAAGTGACCAGCACTCAAAAAATAAATTCTGATGCTTTCTTTCTCCAGCATTCATGTTTATTTTGCTTACTAACAAATATTAGACCTATTTTTGCACTTAAAATACCTCCACCATACGATTATCATCCATCAAGTTTACTGGCAACGCAGACTTGCATCACTCTTCTCCTTCCCTCTTCCATCTCTGTTCAGAACATTATCTAGCTTCAATTTACAAGCGAAACAAGAACAAAACAAGGGAAACCAATCCACTGGTCTATAGCCAGACCAGGAAGCAAGTAGTTCTGGAGCTCTACCCTCTCTCTTAATGAATAACTCTGAACAACTCATATGCTTTGAGGACAACTTATTTATTAATTTACAACTAGATAAAACTGTCCTAACAAACAAAGCGTGATACAAGAGTCCTAATCCTAGTCTTAGTCCCATCCCTAACGAGTATGCAAGTATTTTTAGGAAGCTAAAGAAGCTGTATTAGGTTAGAAGCAAGCTTAGTATTTCTAACCTCACGATACAGTTTTCATTCAATTCTCCCATCGCAATGTCACAAAGGTACGCACCTACAACTTTCACACAAATATAGTTCTATAATGTAACGATGTTCAGCTTTTGTGAAGTGTAGTTACAAACAAGTTCAGGTTCAAATCTCACCAGGTTTCCCTTCTGCAAGGTACAATTACAACTGGAAGTTGCCTCTTATCATTCCAAACTCACTCTGCCTGAAGCAACGTGACATTTCAACCTTGTGAACTGTGACTCTGCACTCCAGTTTCCTTCCAGCACTTCAAACACCACAGCTCTTCAAATACCTCACTTTTCATTCAAATAAGAGCTTCTGATTAATTCTTGTCTTGATACTG